TTAATTCATTACTCATCATTTCATCACATCCATTCATCACGTCAGTGGTTCTAGTTATTATTATTCTGTGATTGTATTCTTTCTTACCTATAATTTTGTTATTATTTTTACTGTGTTATTATCTATTATTAGTTATTGTCTATTATTATTTTTAATCTATTATTATATTATTTTTTTACATCATTATTATTCATCATTTATTATAAGTATTATTACTATTAGTGTTATTTATTATCATTATGATTATCATTATTATTAGTACTGTTTATTGTGTATTTGTTTTATCTCTTTCTTCTTGTTTTTCTTATTCATAACTGTTATTTATTTAATACATTGTTATCATCATCAGCATTATTGATCATTATTATTTAATAATTATTATTTTTTTTTTTACTTCCTTCTCTTACTTCTTATTATTTATTATATTATTATATATAGTATTATTGCAATTAAATTATTATTATCATTATTATCTATTATTATTATATTATTATTATTTTATTATTATTATTATTAGTTATTATTATTATTATTGACATTATTGTTTTTTATGTTTATTTCTGTTGTTATTGCTGGTTTATCTATATTAATTATTATTTCTATTATTTTGTTATTATGATTATGCGTTATTCATCAATTCATTATTCACTGTTCATAATTATTATTTTATATACCGTAGGAGTAGGAGGCATAGTACAGTCATATTTATTCATTTTGTTTATCATTATTATTTTCATGTGTCATTATCAATACCTATTATTAGATTATAATCTTCTTTTGTATATTGCTTTTTATCAATTATCAATGACAATGTTATTACAATTATTAACATTATTATTTTTTTTTTTCATTATTCATTATTGTTATTATTATTCGTTATTAACTATTATTATCATTCATGTATTCAATATTAATTTATATATTCATTATCTATATATCATATTATTGTCTTTAGTGTATTGCTTTCTGTAATTATATATTATTATTGCTATTGTTATAGTTTGTTTATTGATAGTATTTATTGTTATTATTATTATTATTATTATATTATTATTATATTATTATTATTATATTATTATTATTATTATTATTATTATATATTAGTAGTATTATGTATTATTATATTAATTAGTAGTATAATTTATTAGTAGTAGTAAATATGAATATGATTAATGATGATAATGATAATAATTATTAATATTTCTTATCGATTATTATTATTTTTATTTATTATTTATTATTATTATTAATTATTATTATTAGTTAATTAATTATTATATTATTGTGTTATTATCTATTATGATTATTATTATTATGATGATGATGATTATTATTATTATTGCTTGTTATTGTTATTTATTCATCTCATTTTTATTATTTTATTATTATTTAATATTGTAATTATTATTATCATTATCATTATTGTTTATGATTATTATGTATTTGTTTATTTTATTTGTTATTGTTGTAGTATAATGATTATATTATTGTTAACCATTATGATGATTAATCTTAATTTATTTTTTATTATTGTTATTGTTATTATCCTTATTTTTATTGGTGTCATCATTATTATTGTTATTATTAATGATATTGTTATTGTTATTATTACTGTATTATTATTAATATTATCATTATTATTATTATTATTATTATTATTATTATTATTATTAATGTTTTTATTATTACTATTATTATTTTTGTTTTTATTATTATCATTGTTGTTGTTATTGTTATTGTAGTTATTATAATTATCATCATTATTGTTATTATTTTTATTATAATTATTATTATGTTAGTTTTATTATTATTATGATGATGATATGTATTGTTATTTATTATTATTATTTTATTATTATTGTTATTATTACTATTATCAATTATTATTATTTATTATTCATTATTATTGTTTATGTGTTGTTGTTATTGTTGTTGTTGTTGTTATTATTATTATATTGTTGTTATCATCATCATTATCTTTATTGTTACTTTTATTGTTATTTTGTTATTTTTGAAAATATTGGTTCTCATTCATATCTTTCCACATTTGTCAATATGAATACAGTTCAACAGTAATGATGGTAATAATGTTGATAATAATGATGATAATGATAGTGTTAATGATGACAATAATGATAATGATTATGATAAGAGTAATGATGTTCATGACAATGATAATAATAATGATAGTGATATCATTTTTATCATTATTGTTATCATTAATTCAGTATTATTCCTATTGTTGATATTATTTTTGTTATTATTATTATTATTTTTTTGATGCTGATGATGTTATCATGATCATCATTATCATTGCTTTGCTGTTATTATACATTTCATTAGCAAGTTTACTATGTTCATCTTATTAGTTGTAGACTTCTTGTATTATATGAATGATATTACTTTTAATATTATTTGGATTGACGAACAACAAGAAGCTGTACTTTCGATACACTTATTTGTTATTTGAGGACGTAATTCACAACTTTTTCATCCTTGGCTTTATTCACTTTGTTAATGTTAATTTCATATATGTTGTGAATATTACTAATAGGTGAAGAATTTCTAAAGAAGATTGTGAGTTGAATAGATGAAATATAATGCATATTAATCTTTTTTAGGTTTAATATAGTTCTTGATTGTCTTTAAACATGTGATGGTTAGGTTTATAGTCTTGCCAGAGGTATGGTTATTGTTAGCAAAGCAAATAGTAATTGCAGGTCATAGAGTTCAATCTAAATGACAGTTTAGTGCAGCTTAATAAGATGTTTTATTATTGTTATTTTTTTTCTTTTGTATAGCATCATGGAGGGAAGCTAAAACTCTTGCAACGAAGCCATGCCATGCGCGAAGACACATCACCACCACCAGAGATTCTGGAGCCTGCACCCCCCTCACCCCACTGTAACAGCCACTCAAGCAGTGGGGGTAGCAATACCCTCACTGTGACCTCGGGTGGTGGCAACAGGAGGCGACTGAAGCATCAGGGTTCCTCACAGGGGTCCTTTGATGGGTCCTCGCCCTGTCTGTCGCGAGGTCAGTCTAGTTTGTCTTTGTGAGTGTGCATGCTCATGTGTATGTGTGGGGGTTCAGTGAGATACTTTTTGTATGGTTTATTTGGTAAGAGGGGAAATTTCTTTTTTGGATTGCAAGTTTATTATATTCGATTTCCTCAAATGAAAGGGAAACAAGGTTGTTAAGAGGAAGAATTGCTAGTGTTACATTATTTTTTGCTGCATATTCCATGTTTTTGATATTCTGCCTGGCTAAGTCTTTTACACATTAAATAGCAAATTCCTTGTGGCATTTGCTAAAATGTTTAAGAAAATTGATTCTTGGCCAGAGAACTATTGAAGAAAAAAAGGAAAAATGGAAATTCTTGGCCACTTAAACAGAAAAAAAATTTAGAGAAATACAATTATAAATATTTATTGTATTTTCTATATGTAATTATGTTAATGATAGGAATATATGATATGATTATGAAAAAATATAACTGATAATGGCAGCAATACTTATTGCAATATTCCTCATGAAATCAAGTTAGTAGACTAGTAGCAAACATAAAATCAAATAGGTGAACTAGGGCCCAAAAATCGTTTCAAAATAGATAAGGAAACAGCACTTGTAGTTGAAAATGGAAGAACATAACCTTAGACTTTTGTTCGTACTGGCATAAATCATAAATATTTAAGTACAGTGAAGTAGAATAACAATGAATGATAATTTGTGAGGGTTTAGATTGATTCAACACATATATAAGTGAAGTTCTTTGTGGCAGATAATTAACATGTTGGGAAGATGGATCACATTTTTATGATGTTGAATTTTTACGTATGAATTTTGAAGACTCTCTGATGTGAAAAAAAATTCTGGTAAATGTAAAGAACTCTTCATTAGTATTGTCTTGCTAAAAGTCACATCCTTTGGAGTGTTAATTACTGTTTTTGCATGTGATGTAGCTTTGAAAACCATATTTCTAAAAAAAATCCATATTATTGATAGATGATAAGTTAGTTTTTTCTAACTGAAGAGTTCTTAGTATAGTGTTGGGATATCATTTTAGGGTATTATTAGCTTAATGGATGTCAAAATGCTATTCTTCCTTTGACATTTTTTAAGTACCAAGATAATCCTTGAATGAGGATGTGAAACACGTAAAAAGCAGATTGTGCTAGGTAACAAAAGGGATGGCAACACAGATTGTAAAAAATACATGTAAGCAAAAAAATTCATTTCTGTTTTCAATGAAGAAATGTTTTAGGAATGGTATGCTTCACAGAGTTTTACTTATATGAAATTTGTATGAAAAAATGAGAGTTGGGAATTAATTTTAGTATGGTTCCTAATTCACTTTTATCCGTAATGAGTCTATTTATTTTTACATTTTTACAAGATCTATATAAAGAATTTATATTACAATTTGTTTCTGAGATAAATAATTCAAAGCATTATTTTCTAGCTCTTCCAGAATCTCTGTCAGCAAAAAAATTTCTAAACCTGTAAATGTCCACAACCATCACTGATTCCATATCCTCTTGTTATCAGATTCGTCAATGGAATATACAGACAGCAGTGGTGTCGACTTGCAGCAGTTCATCATCCAGACACTTCACAAGAACCAAAAGGACCGCATGATGCTACTCAAGATCGAGCATGAGCTGGTCAATCTTGTGAAGGATACCAAGTAAGTACAGTGGGTAGTAAAAAGTTGCCTAAAAAAAGGAAAAAGTTATGTTTGCTTTGATCTCTGGAAAGAAGTATGGATTTTATCATATGGTTAGTTTTGATGTGAATGTTTTTTGGATATAGAGATATGTATTATCCCTTTTACTTGCCAGTAACAGGGCATGTGTTTTTGGCATGCCCTCTCCTTCTTCCTCTGTGTCTCCTTGTCCTTCTCCTCCTTTGTCTTTCCCTTCCCCTTCCCCTTCCCCTTCCTCTTCCTCTTCCTCTTCCTGTTTCATATTCTCTTTTTCCTTCTGTTTCTTTTTCCTCTC